GCCCCCACTCACGGTCCCAGTCTAAATCAACATCCCCGTTCTCTCAATTCTCTCCTCCTCAACTCGACATCGCCAGTGCAATGTACGAGGCTTTCGAAGAACCGTCACCAGACTTCCTATGCCGCGCCTTTCTTCAGACTCAGACTCGGAGGATTCCGAAGACGATTCGGGTCTCGGACGAGTGTTCGATCGCTCGACTGCATCTTCGACCGCCTCTATGGAAGCCTCAGAGCGTCTTGAAGCGTTGCAGCGGGTCAACGTGGACCTCGGCAAGAATCTTGCCGAAGCGGAGCGCACGCTGCAACGGAAGCTAGCGGATCATGAAGTTGCTAGAAGAGATGGAGGCGCGCCTCGAGGAGGCAAGAAGCGAGCTCAGCGCTGCCAAACGCGAGGAGAAGGAACTAAGGAACAAAGAACGTTTGAACCAGACCCAAATTACCGCCCTTGAGAGTGAGATTGCCAAGGTGCAGAAGACTCTCGACAGCTCACGTACGAACTCGTTGCAAAAACAGTATCAGGAACAATTGAGTATGTGTCACTTTGAACTTGCACTGCTTGGCATACTGATGTGGTAATCTTATGGCAGACGAGTCTGAAGACCTGCGCAACATGCTTCGCAGAAAGGATGAGGATATTAGGACTTTCCGTGAAAGTCTCTCCCTTCAACAGATGGAAACCGCCAAGTATCTCAAGGAGAATGAGGCGTACGAAGAACGTATTGTCTTACTCGAGCAAGATCTTGCTTTCGCGCCGCAGAAAGCGAGCCTGGACGAACAGAAACAGGAGAACTTATGCTTAAGGAGACCATTGATCGCATGAGGTTTGATATGGACGAGTTGCGCGCAGCGCTCGCGACTAATGCTCAGCTGTTGGAATGGAATGAGCAGCGCGCCGGGTAGCGTCAGTAGGAGTCTGGGTGCAGAGTTACTCAGCAAGATGAGAAATGGTGGATGGCTCGATGACGAGGACGAGGCTGACTCGGCGGCAACGCTGAAGGAACTCGGAATCGATAATACGGACGAGAATTCTGAGGACGAAGACATTGTAAAACAATCATCACGCGAAAGAAGAAGGTAGGCAATCTACTATCATTCATATATTCTTGCTTTGACTGATCTTTTTGCACAGCGTGGCCTAAGTAAAGCCAATGATAAGATTGAATCATCCACACTGGAGGACAGCCGGGAGTATGTGGATGCGTACACACAATATGACTCTTTTCCGTTCATCAAGACATCAAGTAGCCAAACCGACCCCGCCCGACGATTCTAACTGCCTCGCTCAGCACTCAGACGGACACATCGTTAGCTTCCACGTCCACATCCACGCAGACTGACGTTCCCATACACGCGTCATAGTCGAAGCGGAGACTCAGACTGATGAACTCCACATTTCCCGATCACCATCACCCCAAGAGGACGACGAGACGCTCGCCTCATCGTCTTCCACCGTCCTCCCTCCCACTCCGAAGGCTAAGCCCGTGCCACTTGACCTTCTCTCACACAACGCCCCAATAGACCTCCCTCCTCATATAACCAGGTGACGTCCGAAACACCATTTCATGACCTTCTACATCTCTCGAGAGTGAGGACTTATCCTTCTCACACATCTCCGATCCGCAAAAGCGACGCGACCTTCGTGTCGCGGTCGAGACACTGCAAAGTTGGCACGGTGGCCTGAAAGTACCTCTCCGTCCTCGCACAGGCGTATCAGCAGAGTTGCTTGAGGAATGGCGCGCACTTAAATCGGAGGTCGGAATCGGTTGCGGGGTGTTCGACCGTGTGCTCGAGGACGCCGCGGCGCCCAGCGTACCAACGAACCGCCGGCGGAAAAGCAGTCGGTTTTACAACATCTACAACACTTATGTTTACGGTGGTGAAGGTGTAGCCGGTAGGGTGCCATGGGGTGGGCTTGTTTCACACGCTCTATTGTGTGCCGGTGCGAGTGCAGTGGTTTTCTTCGCGATGAGTCCACTCCTTGCGCATCATTATGTCGTACCTGGTGGTCCAACGTACTATGACCGTGCGGCTTGGTCAAGCTTTAATTCGATGCATCCGAGTGGTGAGGGATTCTCAGGTGAAAATACTGCAGCGGTGTGGAATTTCTTGGGTAGGCTCGGGGGCGGGGCAGCCCGGATCGCGCGCGGATGGCCGACTTGAGGGTCTTCAATCATCCTTTCTTGCATTTACGTTCGACAGCGACAGCGGAACCAGAACCTTCAATCCAAGTCATGCCTTGTTTATTCTTGTTATCTCACACTGGACCGAGCTGATTGATACCCATGCTCTCTTTTAATATCCTCATTTAACAGACGCTCTTTCCTTAGTTTTTTTTATTGCTTTGCTCGCTCTCATCTAGGCGAGGTTGCCATGTCCACACTCTTTATCTGTCTACTGCACTGCACTCATCGAGATGCGATTCTATGTCCCTTTCCCTTCCACCCACATGGTCTCTTAGTATTTAGGCATGAAACGGTGTCTCTTCGCCTCTCTCTCATCGATCTTTCTCGCTATTTGGTGACGATATTTATTTACGATACGACACTGTACCTGTTTACAAGTAATGTAAGGCAGCCACCTTAGGCCGATCGACCCCGAATTGTGGGGTGGGGGTGTGGTAACCCATTTTCCTTGGGTTTTCAGATTTTGTGGTAATAACTCTCGTGACAGACTGAAGAGGATCCGATCGGCTATCATATCTGATATCTGATGACGGGGTGCTCTCGGTTAGGTTCTTCACCTTCTGGCCCAAGCACAAATTGGTCCTGGCCATCAATGAAGACCTCATCTTCAGTTTTAAATGGCACTGAGGGAAGAAACGGAAACGCGTCGACGATGTTGAATGTAACAGGTTCAGGCGCAAATGAGGTACGTTTACCACAAGTTGTGGGCTGGAGTGTAAGTTTCGTATGAGAGTCACTGAATATCTTTTGCTTATTTTTCCAGACCTCAGGAGGGATCGGCGTTCTCCCTCCCTCATACTACGAATTCTTTCTTTCGGAGGTCGCCAAAGCACGGAAACCCAGTCCTAGTTCGTGTTATACCCCCCCCCCCCGTTTGGGGACATCTAATCTTAATCCTTTTCCTATTCTTACCACCCCCCTCCGATTTGGTACCCTCTTATGCAGTCCGAGGCTCCTTCCCTCGAGCAAACCCCTGGCTTGATCTCTCTCCTCGCCGGGAAGCCCAATGCCGTGTTGTTCCCATTCACTAGCCTTCAATTCACTGCACCCGACCCGAATGGTTCCAATGGAGAAGTGATACATAAAATAGACGACGATATGCTCTCTACGGCCTTGCAATACGGGCCCACAAGTGGGATTCCACACATGGTAGAATGGTTGATGGATTTTCAAGAGCAGGAGCATGGGAGGAAGAAGAAGGGTGAAGGGTGGAGAGTCAGCGTCACCGCGGGATCACAAGATGGGATTTACAAGGTACGGTCCTCAGACGGCTAATGAAAGGGGTGCCGTTTACTCTTCTCTTCTCTTTCTTTTTTTTTTCTCGCTGAGGTCGTTATATCAGGCCGTGCAAGCACTTTTGAATCCGGGAGATGCTGTCTTGATTGAAAAGCCTGTCTATGCGTAAGTGTATGAAACGCGCCTCTTGTCTTTCTTTCTTTTTTTGGATTCGACAGTCCTAAATGCGTGTCAGTGGCGTAATCCCCATGTTCGAAACGTTGGGTTGTGAAATGATAGGTAAAAAAGTTACCCCCCTCAGATACCATACTGAGTTACCATTTTGGTACTAGAGGTCGAAACCGATCCTGATGGACTCAATTCACTATCTCTTCACCACATTCTGGAAAACTGGCCGTCTTCCAGACCAAAACCCAAACTTTTGTATACCGTACCCGTGCGCGTTGTTGTTTTTTTTTGGAATCCTTTTTTGATTTATTCAAACGTCGCCGTAACAGTATGGTTGTAATCCGACAGGAGCAACGACGACGCTTGCGCGCCGGCATGAGGTTCTGGACCTTCTGAGGAAACACGACATCCTCATCCTCGAAGGTATGTCCCATTCTCATCTTCTTGTCCATCTTTTTAAATCATACGTTGTGTACGTAAAGATGATCCATACTATTTTTTGTATTTTGGCACCCGCCCGCGCATCCCGTCCTATTTTATGCTCGAGGCCCAGACGGGGGATCGTAATGTTGGGCGCGTGTTAAGGTTTGATAGCTTCAGCAAAATCCTCTCTGCCGGTATCCGTGTCGGTTTTGTGACGGGACCTACGCCAATACTCGACGCAATGGATAGACATGTAAGTGTATTTTGGTAATTAGTTATCAGCCACGCCCCTCCCTTAACGGAGAATCGATCAACCCCCCCCCCTCCACGTCCTCCTCCCCATAATCACCCCCACAGACTGCCACAGCAAATCTACAGCCATCCTCCTTCTCTCAAGCAGTAATCATTACCCTCCTGCGCGCATGGGGGCGCCAAGGCTTTCTTGCGCACGCCCACAAAGTCTCAAAATTCTATCGTGAAAAACGTGACGTGTTCGAGGCGGCCATGAGGCGGCATCTCCATGGACTCGCAGAGTGGAATACCCCAGAAGCTGGAATGTTTTTCTGGCAAGCCTTTTCTCTTCTCTTTGGGACTCGGGGTTCTCCCCTCCCCCCCTTCCATACAACCCCCATGGCTGGCCGACTGACGAGTGAGAGCGAGCAGGTTCAGGCTTCTACTCGGCGAGGATGGGGACTCTGCGAATATCATTCGGACTAAAGCTTTCAAGAATGGAGTCCTCGCGCTGCCAGGGACCGTGTTCCTCCCAAATGGTGCGCCCACGGCATATGTACGCGCAGCCTTCAGTTTGTTAGAGGAAGAACAAGTAGATGAGGCGCTTCGCAGACTGAGTGTGGTCTTGTTGGAGGAGAGGCGATCGTCGGGGGGGCTCTCATCACGAGGGTAGATGAAGTCAATCTGTTATTAATTGCCCTGATTGACAACAATACTCTGATTCGATATTATAATGTGAAAAATGAACAGGACTTGCACAGCCGGGATAGCTCAGCTGGGAGAGCAACAGACTGAAGCTCAGTGGCATTCTGGAGGTCCCGTGTTCAATCCACGGTCCTGGCATTTTTTGTGACCACCGACCTCAATGGATCAACCGAAGTGCTCATTTCGTCGTGTTCGCGTGATCCACTTATAATATTTACTTTTATTGACCAAGATTGCATTGCAGGACACAGGACTTCAGTCACCCGCTGAAAAAGGACGCGGAATCATAAAGAGGTAGTGAATGCGTCAAGGGGCAACGCAAGACCCTTTTTGCAAGCATATAGACACACATGACTACCCATCTACTCCCGAGGACTGCCACGACCAACGCCAGCAAACTGCGGGCGAAACTCGCCCGGTGCACCATCCTTCTTGCTGGTGTCGTCCCGTCGACGGTAATCGTCGCGATCGCCACGATCGCCGCGAGGAGCACGATAGGTACCCTCACCACCACTACCACCCCACCCCCACCTGGGCGTCCCTGGGCAGGGCGGGCACGGATGGGCTTGCGGTGGGTCTCAGGAACGACCTCTGCAGGAAGGTGAAGCCATTCGCGGAGGTACTCAACGCCTTCAGGCGTAAGGGTGTAGTAGTACCATTGCCATGAAAATTGAGTCTTGACGTAACCGCGGGAGGTGAGGGACTGAAGTGCTTTGATGACCTCGAGGTTTGGAACCTCGAGCTCCTCGTGCTTGGGAGCGTTGAAGTCCTTCTTAGCTACGAGGACGCCCTCTGTTTATGGGCAATAAAATGAGCTCTGAAGGATGAAAGGGTGGGTGGGACCGCGCACCCTTGAAGAGGTTTTGGTAGATAGTGCGCTTGTTCTCCTTTGAAATAATCATATTGAGAGTGAGAAGGTTAGCTTGAATAGTTGTGAAAAATTAGATAGACATAATTGCAAGGTGTAGATACGCACTGGAGCTACTGTCGCACTGAGCCCTACTAGATATAAGAGATAGGTTAGCTCATTGTCATCTGCAGAGCGATGCGTGCATCCAGCCCCTCCCCATGATATTCAATGCACCCGAACGAGATAAAAAAGAAAAGATGACCACGTCGAACTGTAAATTGATACTCACAATAAGTTGGGGTGTCTGTAGCCTTGAGGGACAGAGCGTTTCGTTTGTGTTGTTTGTATAGTTTGGTGTGTGTGGCTCGAGCGGAGTTCCCGGTTGATGTCCCAAAACAGGAACAGGATGAAACCACTAACCGAACCCGAACCGAACTGAGAACTGAATCAATTTCTTGGTGTTGTTGGACTTGTTGCCCGCTTGCCGCCTGCCGTCTGCTTGCCTGTTGCGTTGCTTGCCCGTCGAGTTGACTTCTTATCCGTGCACAGTGCGCATTACCGCCGACACTTCTATACACCCGTGTCTGGTTTCAATCTTATACCAATGAGTCGCTATAATACCTCTTCAAAGTCCCCAGGGCCATTAAAGTCTCGTTTGCCCGTTTCGAGTTCGAGCACGCGTCTCGCGACTTCTCGGTCAACTACCCATCTTCCTGACCCTACTCCGTCCCTCACCACTTCCCCTTCCACTCCTCGGGTACCGAAATCCCCTGCAATCAGACCTCGCACCATCTCCACCAATGCCAAACCGTCATCGTCATCCTCCTTTCTAACACCTTCTTCTGAGAGACCACGAACTAAATCCCCAACCAAACCACCTACCCGCCTTCGCCCAAACGAGCCGGAGCAAGCCACTCCCTCAAAAGCACCTCCAATGAGCATGAAGGAAGCCATTGCTCTCAAGCGTGCAGAGGCGAAAAAGGCGATGACAGTGCAGAAAGCCACCACTGCGCGCGATCGTTTAAATGGCTACGACGGTGTCGACGATGCTTCTCCGGCCGCTGGGGGTGCCCCTGCGACCGAGGGTGACGATCTCGGCAGGCCGTCTATACGTGATACTATTGAGCGGGCGCGGAGCTCAGGTGTGCTTTGTGTGAATTTTATCGCTCACGTATCACTCTGCTAACCCTCTAAGGCCCGTTCGCAAGGTTCACTCAACATCGCTTCACGCGATCTTCCCTGTCTCCCTTCTGCTTTATTTGAAATACATCTTTCAGTAACGCCAGAGAAACTTCTTAGCGTACCAGATGAGCCTCCTTTGCCTGAGAAACCCGGAAGGAAAGCCAGTTCCAAGCCAACATCATGGTATGACCAGCAAGATTTGACTTTCCTACGAGCGCGAAATAATCAAATCGTCGAAATTCAGCCTGAGATTTCTTTGTTTGGTTCGCTTAAGGCCATTGACGTACGTGTATCACTCTTATTCAGCAGCGTGACTGAGGGGGACATCCACAGCTTCAAAATAACCGTCTCACGTCACTTCCCGACAGCTTCGCCGATCTCACCTCCCTGGTTAACCTTGACCTTTCTCATAACGCTCTTACCTCTCTCCCAGCTCACTTCTTTTCACTTCCTACCCTCTCCACTCTTGACCTCTCACATAATTCCTTATCCGCATTGCCTTTCAACATGCCTTTTGATCCCGCCACGAAAGTACCAGCGTCGAGTCGGCGCTCCAGCGATTTCTTCTCTGCTCCAGAAATCACGAGAGCGACACGTCCACTTCCACGCCTTTCTTCCTTGGACGCATCGCACAATAAGATTGTTTCCTCTGCTATTCATCATGATGAGCTCCCACAGGATCTCAAGACATTCATCCTCACATATAACCCTCTAGGCGATGCTGCGACACTCGTGACTTCATTAAGCATTCTCCCTCAGCTCGTCGAACTTCGCATGTCGAAGTGTGACATCGATGACGCCTCCTTCTCCGGCTCTCTTGTCTCTACGTTCAATGCCCATCCCTTTCCCAAACTAGCTATCCTCGATCTGGAAGAAACGCGCGTTACTCAAGCGGCCGTATCGAGCGCCTTCTCTGCCCTCGTTCAGACCATCGATTTTGAAGCACCAATAAATGACGCTCGAGCAGTGCCAGCAGGTACCCTTGCCGTGGCCGTAGGCAAACGAATTGTGCGCGAGGTGTGGGAGATCGAGGCAGATCGTCATGTTCAGCGCCTCCGTGAGAAGCGAAGCACCGCGAATCTTAACGCCGCATCCGCCTCAGTGCCATCCCAATCGCCGCTTCGGCCCGTGGTGAAGGAACAATGGGAGATCGACGCAGAAGAGGGACTGTTCTCCGAGGGTGCGCGCCGTCGCGCACGGGCAGAGGCCGTACAGCGCGCTATCGAGGAGCCAGGAGCTGGGTTACCTACCATAGTTACGCCAGACACGCCACCTGTGCTGGACCGCTTCTGGGATTCTCGCACGCTTACACTCACGCTACCTCCTTCCGCTGGTCGATCCATGCGCCATGGTGCTGATACTACCACGGACGAGATTCTCCCGCGTGCAACACTTCCACTTGTGCTGATCGTGACTCAACCCTTCGCTGACACATTGCGCGTGCTTGAGCTCCGTGGGCGGCGTGTGGAGCCAGCCTTCGTCTTGCCATCACAAAACAGTAGACCGTTGTTACCACGGCTGGAGACGCTCAATCTTGAGGGCTGTGCGCTAGACGATTTTATCCCCGGTGCTGGACCAAATGAGGGTGGCACGTTAGGCGTGCTCGCACAGCTGTTTCCCAGCTTGCGTAACCTTGAACTCGCTTATAACAACCTAACGGGGGCAAAGATGGCGCGTGTAGCGCTTGAACAGCTTTTGTTTGTTGGTGATGATGGCCGGCGCGCCGGACTACGACGTCTGGGACTTTGCGGTAACAAGATTGAAGTACTCGACGGACTACGTGAACTCGCGCAAGCGGTATTTGGTGCTGATGCCGATGCAGGTGATGGAGGAGGAAGCGGAGAACTCCGTAGGCGTTGGACGCTGGAGGAGTTGGACATACGTGAGAATTCAATCGCGGTGCTTCCTGGTGAGCTTGGGTTACTACCGCTTGACCAACTCCTTGTGGATGGCAATCTGTGAGTCCCTCTCCTCCTTGTAGTTGGCCCTGAAATTTTTCGCCTCCCTTACTTTTGGCTGATGCTGCGAAGGTTCCGTGTTCCTCCGCGGCGTGTGTGGGAACGGGAAGGGACAAAGGGTTTGTTGGTGTGGCTTAAGGGGCGCTTGGGGGCTGTGAAGAGCTGAGCTTTGTGATGGTTTGGTGTGTGCTAGTACTACTAGCTACGCATCGTGGTGAAGGATGAACATTGCCACAATAAAGTTTTGTTTCTCCGTATGGGGGGAGAGGGGCTTTATGAAGATTGTTTTAAATTTATTTACTGCAAAGAGGATTGCCAAAATGTTGCTTGTTGCTTGTATACGTATACGAGAGACGCAACCCAATGCAAGTGGTACAAAGTTCTCAATCAAACTGGTCACTTTGGGGTAACACAGTGGCAGTTGTTGATGTTTCCTGGCCCGCATTTGTCATGTCACGTGTCACGTTCACAATTCCCCATAGAACCATTAGCCCTCTCGTTCTGCCAGCTACTACCGCAAAGCCGAAACATGCAATCCAAATCATTCTCACTCAGGGAGAAAATCCGCAGGATGTTTAATGCATCATCTACGGACAGTCAACCGGACTGTAAGTCTCTCCCTCCCTCGTTATGTACGCACGCGATGGCTCATCAATCTGTCCTATGCAGCTGCTCTTCTCAACTCCTCATCGGAGCCGATCAGTAGAGCTCCTGATGTTGTGATGAGCACGATCGAGACTTCCCTTGTAGCCTTGAAGGAGGCAAGCTCTCTGATGGTAAAGATACCATACATTTCTCCGGTTGCCGGCCTCCTACTTCAAGTCCTCACCATGCGAGATGTGAGCGGCTGGCTATCATCCCGTTGAAAGTCTTTGTGCTTATTTATTTATTTATTTATTTCGATAGGAAGTAAAGCAGCATAAGAAAGAGTGGGATCTTGTGATGCGCAAACTTGGCAGGGTTGCCAGTCTCGTTGTGAATGTTGGGGAGTCGTGCCAGAAACATAACCTTGATGAAAACTATCTCCCTCCCGGTCTTCGCACAATATTGTTAACCCTTCAGACGTACGTGATATACTCATAATATTTTATCACTGACTCGTTGTATACAAGTGAGTTGGGCGGGATCGAACGCGCGCTTAAGCAAAA